ATAAAATAAATGTTTTTCACTTATTATACTCACTAGAAGAGCTTTACATTAGACTCAGTGATGTCTTTGAGAGGAAAGAATCACAAAATTAGCAGTGGGTAACATAAATTTTAAAACAAATATCATATCCTTTGATTACATAATTATAAAGAGACCACACTATGAATAGCATAGGTAAAGAATAAATGGTTGGTAAAACATAAAGTGTAAATAACCTTAATTGCCTTTTACTACAAAAAAACAAGGAAAGGGCTAAGTAATTGAGACATTAAAGACATTAAAATTTTTATTTGTAAAGTATTTTAACGGCATAAGAAAATACAGATGATATAGCAAAATTTAAATTATGGAGAAATACATTTGGAAAGAGAGTCTCTGAAAGGGAATAAAAGAAAATGCTAAAAGAGGAGTTTCACTGGCATAATTCTTCTTTATGCTTTTAAACACTTGTTACATTTATTTTGTAAAGCATATATTCACTACTGTTGGGAGTAAATTTAAAATCTAATTCCTGTCAAAGGATATATCTTACTTAAAATTTTATAGCACTTACAATAAAGCCCTGCATGGCAGAGAGAAGAATTTTCCATTTTATAGTTAAGAGGAGTGTAATTTCCCAATTGGAGCAGCTTGAAAGAAAACCTGAACACACACACACACACACACACACACACACACACACACACACATCCTCCCCTGGCCAGCTACCCAATGGGGTACCTGTGATATCACTGCAGAATGATACAGGAGCAACAAGATCCATGAGCTTTTCATGATGTGAGCGCACAGCAGTTATAATCCAAGATAGTATTAATCATGTTATTTAATTTTTTGATGTTCTTTATAAATTCCTAATTCTAGCTGAATGAAAACTAAATGCATGAGATCAGACAAATGTTAATAAAAAGGGATATAAAAGTAAGTAAAATGTGTCAGGAATAGAAGTTAATAATTACATCTATGTTTGATTCATTATGATGGCAAGGATTAAAAGAAGATCTAAAACTCCTTTGTTTTATTTTAGGAATACATTTAACATGGTGCTGCAAGTAAGAATGAAAGAAATCATATTAAAATATTAATAATGACTAAATGTAAGAGTCCATAAGGTAGTATGTGGAGAGTAAAAAAGTTAAATTTTTCCTCCTGGAAAATAACCAGGAGGTTTCTAATAAAGAAATCTATTTTAATCAGTGAGAAATTAAAGAAGAAAAGAATATCTTTATAAGTATTTATTGAAGGTCACTTGCAGGGCAAAATTAAGAGATTAATACAGTCAATAAGATTTAAGCCCAGACTCTTTTCCAGAAGAACACACCACACAGATAGTAACATAGTTAACTCCTGTGCATCCACACTTAGGCCATGTGTTCTGACCTCTTTTCCTCATCTGGTATATACAAGGCCAATGCCAGACAGTGAGCAGCTTTGTATTAGAAATGGAAATATCCATTTTTGTATTGTGAACCTAGCAGAGCAGCCCAGAGCAGGATGTATGTGTGTGCATGTATGAAACTCATTTAAATACTTAAACCAAATCACCTCAAATCTGTATGTGTTAGAAAAATTACATAGTATATGCCCAAGTTAATTAAGCAATTTAGAAGATTATCTGCATGATCAAGTAATTTAGCTACTAGTTGTCTAATCCACTAGGTAGTTTGTACACATATTCATACAAGGTTAATGCTTGCTTTTGTTTTTTGGTTGGACTGGGATTTGAACTCAGGTATTCACACTTAGAAACAGGCTCTCTACTGCTTGAGCTACACCTGCAGTCCATTTTGTTCTAGTGAATTTGGAGATGGGGCTTGCAAATTATTTGCCCTGGTCTGGCCTTGAACCACAATCCTCCCTTTCTCAGCTTCCCAAGTAGCTAGGATTACAGGTGTGAACCACGGGTTAATGTGTTCCATGAGTTTCAAACTCAGCAACTTCCCAGGTAGTATCCTCTCAGTCAAGGATCACAAATTTAAAAGATTTTATCCAGACAAATAATTACTTGGAGTCAATTGTTTACAGTAAATATTTTTCTCTCATCTTTGCTTGAGACAAAGGTACTGGAAAATATTTCTCCAAGTACAAGAATGATGAAAAATGGCAACTGACCCTCCAGCTCAGTGTCTGAGACATAATTATAGGAGTTAAAGGGATCAGACAAAGTTTTCATGATACTTCTGAGTTAGCAGTTTCTACCCAACTCCACCTAATGGTACCAAATAGACATTTGGGGCCATTTTTTCACTCTTTTTACCTGTAAATCCAGAGTATTATTTCAAATATATCAAGAAAGAAAAATAAAGTTTGTACTTTTTTCGTATGTAAGACAAATAAGACATATGTAAAGACTATATTTGTCACACAAATTTCTAGTTCTCTGACTCAACAATTTAATCACTCTGTTGTTGCACACACAACGTCACATAATTTGATTACAAAAATGTGAAGGAAGCTGGGTGCCAGTGGCTCATGCCTGTTATCATAGCTGCTCAGGAGGCAGAGATCAGTGGTATTGCAGTTCGAAGCCAGCCTAGGTAAATAGTTCTTGAGACCCTATCTCAAAAAAACCCATCACAATAAAGGGCTGGTGGAATATACATATATATATATATATATATCTACATACATATATATGTATGTGTATATATATACATATATATTATATATATGTATATATATTATACATATATATATTTTATACACATATATGTATGTATATAAAGGAAAGACAACTAAATATTCAGAATACTATTATTGCATAGTCATAACTTTAAAAACTCCCTTTCACAAACTCCATCTATTATGGAAAAGAAAATATCAAAATCCAGAGCTTGGCAATAGAATAACAAGTATAACCATTTTAAACTTTTTAAATTTAGTGTAACTTGAGTTTAGGTCATAAGTTCAAGTTGACTCTCTACATTTGAAGATGTATGACTTTATTTCTAAATAATGAGTAGCCAATTGCAATGACTACACTGTTCTGTTGTGACATTTTAACTGAATCATCCTACTAAGAAAACTAAAATTTCAACCTCATCTTAATGACTTAAGCTACTCAGAATTCTGTTAATGAAGTATGGAGAAAATTCTGTCTCCAACACATAGAATGATTTATCTGTTTGTAGGAATGTGAGAAAAATGATCACATTTTCAAGTAATAGATTACAAAGCACAAAAAAAGTTCACAGTGCAGCTATGCTGATGAAAATTACCTGCAGGCTCTTACAGTGAATTAATTAACCTTTTGTCATAAAAGTCTAGAAACTGCAACAGGGACTGAGGTTTCTCTGTTCCTCTTGCTCCAGTTCCTTCAGTATTTTAAAAAATGAAATGATGTGCCATTACTGAGTCAAATAAATAAAACAATCAGAGATTGTAGTTCCTGTGTTACTTCAATAAAGCTGCACAAATTGTGCTTAAAATATCACAAGTTAGATGACTCATCTTTTCAGTTAAAAGATGAGTGGTTGATTTCTATGTAGCTACTTACTTTTATGAATAAGATCAGTAATATCTTACTATGATTGTTAGCCACCTTCATTATCTAACTTTTGAGTCAGAAAATGAACTTAAATAAAGCATGTTTTTGCCAAGGTATTTTTTAAATGAATATATGCATGCATTCTTATAAACATCACTTTTAAGTGAACAAATATGTTATCTATGTTTAGATGTATTTGCAAAACATTTTGATACTTTTCACTTTGGAGCTGAGCTTAAAAAAAATCAGCTAACACTAAATGAAGCCAAAATCTGAGACAAGAGATTTCTAATAAATTATGATATTATGAGCCACTGTATTTCCTTGGGTTTGTTTTAAAGACAAGTGTCAACAAGAGTTGGTCAATGTGAAGATAAAACAAGATTTAAAAACTTGTAAATTATATTTAAATATTGACATGATAGTCCATGTCTTTATGCAAATGCTAGAAGCCACATTCCACTTTTTTCTTTGATATTGCAGTACACTTTAAGAGGTTAACAAATCCTAATATCTAATTGTTTGATTACAAATAATTAAAGTTGTTCTCTCCCATCAGTCAATGTCTTTTCTTTAGTTTTAGTTAACTCGTTATATTATAAAGTAGTTGACAAGGGATAAATCATCACCCAAAAGGTTACCAGATAGATATCTTGTTTAGATATGGGTTGTGTCTATATAGCTGTTGAAAGTTAGGGTATTTTTCACTCTTCCAAAAGAAAGATGATTTGCTAAATTCATCTTTAAAGAGATAAACTAGTGAATACTACCCAAAATAATTTTTTAGGAAATCAATTGTTGGTAGCAGGTCAGAGGTCCACAAATATGTGCTGGAATAGTAAAAGGAGATTTTTATAGCAATGATGTCTGTGATGCTTTCAGAAAACTAAAGATGCTTATGTTATTCCTTCATTTTTATTAAGAGTAAGACATATTTTACTATAAACATTTAAAAGTAATGGTTATTTAAATTAATTTTGAATAAAAATTTTCGATAATTGTTAATATTTTTAAATATTCCAAATTTTATATGTCGCAAACACTGTGTATACATGAATGTAAATAGCAAAAGATACCTTTTGAAACTATTCCAGGAATTAGGGGAGAGGATGATAAAGGAGAATGGTGGAGGAGGCAAATTCAAGTAAAAGAAGTTAGCTCCTTAAGAGTGATAAACTTAGAATATTTAACAAAACATTTTTGACTATTTCAGACTTGAGAACCCTTCTATTACATAGCATATACTTTAGGTACAATACACATTAAGTATCAAGGCTAACACATTTTGTCACACAGAAAATTCACAATGTACATATTTTGACTATAACAATTCATAAAGCTTCAGGGACTGTGGGTAGCTGAAGTTATAGTGTGCTGGCCAAGTAATGTCTATTTGTACATGGATATATAAATATATGACTTTAAAAAGTTAAAAGCAAGAGCAAAACTTGACAATATCCCTTATAATTATTACAGGAATATACACGCTATTCTTTGAGAGATATGATATACATACCTGACAGGTAGTGTTCTGTCTCCTTTCCTCCTATCCATTTCTCTTTGGGGAACAGGATACCATCGGAAATTCAGTTTCCAGTTAAAACCCCCATAAGTCATGTCTGACCCAGCCATATATTCAAAGGTATCATCACTAATCACATCAATAATCGGGCATACAACTGTTTTCCTGGAGAAAAATTAAAACCAGTTTACATATAAAGATCATTTAAATGCTACATTAGCTTCTGCAAACCTTATTATAGCTGGTATGATACAGTTTGTCTTGTGATTTAAATATGCCTTTAATTTTATTTTATGCTTTTTTCTATGAAATTATTCCCACTGACTATACCTTCTTTATAGTGTACTTTAATGCTATCATGCAAAACCTAATCAAATATACTAATTGACCTTAAAGCTGATTTCCAAATGCATTATAAGTACTAAATCGGCAGCATGAGTTTTGTCTATTTGTCAAGAAACCTCCACCTGTAGCACAATTAGTAGAGTTGCTTTGAAATTATGCATCATTTTAGTTATAACACAGTGAAAAGCAATAGCATACAAGAGGGGAGAATGGATAGTAGAAAACTAGACCTAGTGGTTTGCATTTTGAATAGTGTAAACTGAAGAAAAAATTCAGAGAAAATCTTCACTCAGCAAATACCTTGTAGGAAAAACAACTAAAATCATGAGCTATCAGTATAAGGACATGTTTCCTACAAAGGTAAACAGGGTTATGACAATTTCTGAGTGAATTAGCCTAGAATCAGGAGTGTAGAGTTATCATAATTTCGAGGATAGCTTAAGATTGGGGAAGACAAATCTCTCAAGTTTTATCCTACTTTTCCTGAAGTAGGTAGAAAGCCAGGAGGTTTGATGTTTTTTTTGGTTTTTTTTTCCCATTTATTCACATGTGCATACATTGTTGTTTGGGTCATTTCTCGATAGTAGCTTTTTAGGGTAAGAAAATTTCACTTGAAGATACCATTAGGCACTCCTTTAATCCACGTGTCCTTTCTCTTATTCTTCCTCTTCTCCTAGCTGGAGGGATTCATTAAGGAATCAAGCTTCTGTTATTGCCACACGTAAATGTTTAGGTTTACTCAAGATTATATTGATAATAGCAGATTCTGAAGACAAGAACTTGGTTTTTCATATTTAGCAGGAGGTAAATACACAAACAGGATTCCAAAGCAAAATAGTATTGTCCATTACTCTTATTTTGTAAGGCCAATATCACCATGACTCACTGAATCTTAAGATCTACAAAATTGGCTAAAGGTTTGAAGTTCTCTGTAATTAGTAGAGATCACATAGCTTTGGAAAAGCTCCTTGGTGTCTTTGGACCCAGCAAAATCATTATCTATCTTTCTTCACTGGATTAAATAATTTAACTTGTGGGGAGAAGAAATTAGATCTTATAATCTTGAACAGATTTCATTATCTAGTTATGGTAACCTTAGAATGTATAATCAGGAAAAAAGATTAGGGTTCATTGTATATAAATATAATGCAAATGCATTTAAAAGATAAATAGTTTATACATGACTAAAATGAAACATTACATTAAAAACTTACTAAGATAATATGAAACACACTCCAAAAAGCCAGAAAATGCATTTAAGATGCTCTGAGCTTATTTCACTTTGCTGGTCATACTCTCCTGTGGGCACTGTACAATACACAAAATGTTATCAGCTGTATACTACACTCAGTTGACTAAAAGGTTTCCACTGCTTTCATGAACAGCCATGGTTCATTTTACTGACAGCATCCATCCATCTTCCTGGCAAGTACCAAATTCTGCCATTTATGTCATGTGGATGAACTAGCTCAAACTAAGCAGCCCTTGTCTTCGGTGTCTAATTAAAAACTTTAATTCTAGAAAGACTCTTCCACTGTTCATGAAATAACTATGCAACCAAGGTGTTCTTTATTGCTTTGCTACCACATCAGACAGAGTGCAATGTGAGTTATCTTCATTAGGTGCTTAGAAATTATACTCATTTATCATCAATATTTATGAATATCTGCAAAAAAGCTTGTACTTCATAGCTATGAATTCTTTCTCATCAGAAAGAATTGCAGGTACATATGAGCATTCTTAATTTCTACAAAGTATTCTTCAAGTTTTTGAGATTTAAAATTTATGTATGTAGAAAGTGACAATGTTGTTTAAATAATCAAACTTAGCTTTTTTTTCTGTTTGCTTAGGTTGTTTTTTGTTTTTTGGACCATGATTTTATTTCAGTGTAGAGTGCATTTTTAAAAACATCTTCAGGATGTATTTGAGCTAGACTCTGGCTGGGGGCACTGATGCAGTGAAGAGAACACTGGTGAGAAGAAGAATGAAATTGTTTCCAACACTTCCAATAACTAGGTAACTGCTTTGTTCCTCCCTATGGTGAGGTCTACATAATACGCCCACAATACCTACCCCACAGGGTGGCTGAGGACACAAAAAGGTACTTTGAAAATGTGTTATAACATATTGTACTATTACAGATTGGACTGGTTTCCTTTATCTAAATGAAAATATTCGACAGATTTTTCGTTTGACTTGCTTGTCTTAATCAAATACCCATGCTTGATGAAAATAAGTCAGTCTTTTTATTAAGTAGAGGGGAAAAGTGCTTTAAAAACATATGAATGAAGCCTTCTGAAAATAGCAACTTGGAAGAGAAATTTTGATGGACAGCTGAAGCTGCCCTGACAGGATCAGTCATAACCCATGCAGACATAACACATGAATCCCTACCTGTCTTCCTTTATTCTTGCCAGCAAGGGCTCCAGCCATCCTAATGTGCACTCACAGTGTGCATCCAGAAAAGTTATGACCTGCCCTTTTGAAGCAGCTGCTCCTCGAAGACGGGCTCGTATTAACCCAGAACGCTCTTCCATCCTGATGATTTTTACTGGCACTTCTAAATTTTTTACATAATTTTCTAATGTCAATTTGAGGAAATCTGTAAAATGCAGTAAGAATTTATCAGAAAAACTTGAAACTGCTTTAAGACAGAGTAGAGATCCTCTAAGATGGAAATTCAACAAATAGAAATGATGGCTAACTCTTATAAAAACTTTTTGCATTAGATGAAATAAACTAATAGGGATTTCACCAACTCATGAGTGTCCAGACATATAAATTCTCAGTATAATCAACTGAGTTTGAAAAAAAATGCAAAATTTTTGGAATTCATTTTGGCTGCTTTATTGGGCTAGTAAGAGCCAAAGAGACTATGAACAAAACTGAATTAGCTAATTGTTCCTATTATTGACATCCATACACAAGGTGTATGAATGAAAATTTGATAGGTGGTTGATTGAGTTTGTGGCAAACTACAGATCATTGCCCAGTTTTGACCACAGGAAAGCTGTCTAATAAAAAAATACACGAACCGGGCGTCAGTGGCTCACACCTGTAATCCTAGCTACTCAAGAAGCAGAGATCAGGAGGATCATTGTTCGAAGCCAGCCTAGGCAAATAGTTTGTGAGACCCTATCTCAAGAAAACCCATCACATAAAAGGGCTCGTGGAGTGACTCAAGGTGAAGACCCTGAGTTCAAGTCCCAGCACTGCAAAAAAAAATACATGAAAAAATATATACCTCTTTCACTGGCGTCATCTACCAGGATAACCTCAGAGAGTAGGTAGTGTGGGGAACGATTGATAACACTGTACACAGTTCTAAGGAGAGTGCTCCAAGCTTCGTTATGAAACACAATGACTACACTTGTGTTTGGAAGTTCATCAGGGTAGACTTTTGTCTTGCATCTGTAGAAGAGGAAGGAAGAGGGATATGAATAAATTTATTTATCTTCCTGATCATCATAAGAAGAAATATCCATTATAACAGAACTTCAGACTTAAAAGCCCCTTGAAAGGCAGTGTTTTATGAATATCTGCAACAATTTTCCTTTTATAGGCACTGCAAGTAATCACTTGGCCTTTTGAAAATTAAATATGCATAATTACTAATATTTTATATTAACTCCTGCAGAGAACAAAGCAGCATGATTTCCACAAGCCTAAGAAAAAAATCTAAGAAGGTAAAATAACATTTTTGAAAATGTCAAAAACAAAAGTAAAACCAGGTACAACAGGGACAGATTAATTCAATTAGTGGATACAATTTTTGTTCTTTGTTTAAAATAAAGATTTATTACATAACTCAAGAAGTCACAAAAGCACAAACAGACATGAGCTCCCAGGGTTTTGAAGCATGTAAAAGTGAGATTATTTTTCTGTTTTAAAGTCTAATTTTATATGATTTCTACTCCATTTGAGAATTCTATAAACCATGTCTACTTTTAAGGAAAGTTAGGAGCCTGGTCCCTGAAATTTCCTTATTTCCTGGAGGTCAGGAAAGGCAATGGGTTCCTAGAACTTACACAGACATCACCTGAGGATTTGTTAAAATGCAGGTATATATTGTTAGATCTGGAATGGAGCCCGAAACTTCCCATTGCTGCTGCTGTATGAGAGCACTGATTTGTTAGAGTTTTGTTATCAATAACTTTGGATTTTAATAACTTGAGGAAAGCTTTCAAATTTGCTTACAAATCAAAGAGGTTCAGATTTTACTTTTCAAGCAATCGATCTAAGTGGATGTTTGAATAAATATGATATGTAATGCTCTAGGTGGACATCCCAAATTTAACAGGCAGATGGTCATTTTTCTGTCAACTTCCCATAAACATTTCAACATTTATGTCAGATAATTTTAAGCCATCATGATTATAGAATACAAAAAATGTCAGAGAGCATCTGGAGTACAAGTAGACTACCTTAGGCAACTTTTAGTGTAAAATATTTTAAAGAGCTAGAAAATTAAAATATTTCCATAAAATAAAATTAAGCAGATACCTCCTGCCACTTATGACTATCTAATACATTACACAAAGCAGGATTGTTAAAATTAATTTCTTTCACAACTGAGTGGAAAAAACCAATGTGGAATATGAAGGCACATAATAAAACATAACTGATTGTGTGCCTGGTGAGATCTTAATCATTTTTTCAAAATAGCCTAAAATATCTCTACTCAGTGAAGTCTTCTACAATATGGCCAGGTAAGGATGTATATGTACCTCAATTTAACTCTTTTTTAGCCTGGATTTATTTGAAAGCATCCATTAAACACCCACAATACAACAGGTATAGTGCATACAAGAAAAATATAAATGTAAGGGATGGGTGAAGTGATGGAGTTCATAGCTGTCTCTTCTCATTCTGGTGACAAGATTCAAAAGATTTGCATGTACTTCACTGTTATTTTGGTTGGATCTCCAGGGAGCTCATCAGTAAACAGGCTAAGAAAGCCATCTTCATCTGCCTTATCAAAAAATATCTGATCATTTTAGGCATGCCAAGCATAAACTATGGCAAATAAAATAATATCATGAATAGCAAAGTAATTTGTGAAAATAAGATGAAGGCAGTCAACCACTGTCTTAACCCAAAGCTTAGAGTCATTAAGGGATACTCAACATCATTTAGAAAAGAGCAATTTCCTTTAAATCAAGGTTTTATACTTGTTACTCTAAATGAAATAAGGAAAACATGGATGAGATGTAAATTTAAAAAAATTATTTGAAATATCAAAATAAGGTTGGGAGTGGTGAATCTGTAATCTCAGCTACATGGAAGGCACATTAGGAGGATCTTGTTATCAGGCAGGCTCAAGCAAAAGTGTGAGAGCTTATCTGAAAAACAACTAAAGCAAAAGTGGACTTGGGTGTGGTTCAAGTTGGAGAGGCCCTGAGTTCAAACCCCAGTACCATACACACATACATACATACAAAATCAAAATAGAAGTAGATATTTAGATCCATCAGGTCCATCATCATAATCAGTTTTTATCAAGTTCTATTTTTGTAGTTGAAAAATCCACTTACAGTTCAATTTTATATGCATTACATGTAAGAAAGTTGAAAAAATGAACTAATTTCCTATTAATGCAGCTATTGGAATTTATCTAAATCAAATTTCTACTGTAATTTTTAGCATAGCATAAAATTACATGTGGCTAATATGTTTATAAATTCCTTCCCTTCTTTCTATATGAACAGTCATTCCGCAAAGGAACAAAATTTCAGTTATATGGTATGAGTAAGTTCTAGTGATCTGATTGATTTACAGTACAGTAATTGGAGCTAATAATATGATTTTGTGTATTTGAATTGTACTAAGAATTGATCTTAAGTCTTTTTTTCATAACTTAATATCAACAATATGAGGAAATGGATATTTTAATTGGCTTGGTTGTGGCAGTCATTTTATAATGTTTACATATCACAAAATATTAAGTTTTATACTTTAAACGTATGTAAGTTTTATTTATGAAGTATACCTCAGTGAAGCTGGAAAAATGTCATTCAGCAGCAAAGACTCTGGGTACTAATACAATAATCAACAGGATCATTTTTAAGCTGTACAAATTCTATTTCATGATTAAATAGACCTTATAGAAGAAGATTTCAAATTTATTTGGACACAGATTTCTATGAATGCTGTCAGGTTTAATTTATGAATGCTAAATCAGGTTCCTATTGTTTTGATGTTTCATTCACCTCATCTAAAAGTTTTCCTCCAATTTTAATAGGTATTTCTTAACTTAAGAGAGGAAAACATTTAACTCATATCTCAATAGTAAAATGTAAAATTTCATCTTGGGGTATATTTCATCATGTGAAATTTAACTTTTAGTGTTATTTCCTGGCTTTATTTGTAGACCATAATATTTTGTTTCAATACTAAATCATTATACAATCTTCTTTTTCCTAGCAGTATTAGGAATTGAACTCAAAGACTCATGTGCTAAGCAGGAACTCCACCACTTGAGCTACTCCACTAGCCTTCTTTTTTGTGGTTATTTTTTAGATAAGTTTCCCAAGTAGTAAAGAATACAGGCATAAGCCACTGACACTCAGTCCACTGTATAATCTGTAAGAAGAAGTATAAATGGTGATTAAATTCAGCACCTGTGCTGGAAACAGTGCACATGAATTGAGGCAGTGGCTACAGGTGCAGCTTGGACCACATTCACACAGACTTAAGGAGTACTGCTTACATGTGTTCCACCTGGGAGACAGTGAGTGTAACTTACAACTAGCTGTAAAACTCATCTAATTTCATACACACAAAGTTAAAAAAATGTACATCTCAGAGTGGATGAATACAATATATTTTTTGTTTAGTCAAGAAAAAGTACTTAAAATGTTATTTAGTTTCAAAAATGCCTTTAGAATCTGAGAGGGTGAGTTTTTATCTCATTGATTTTCTCATAAACAATTCAAAACAAGCAAAACAAGAAAACGATATGAAGAAAGTTTAAGTACCTAAAATAAAACAAACAAACAGAAGTTGGGTATTAATCTTCTCTCTCTGGTTCATAAAAACAACATGTCCATTGTGATATTAAAAGAATAATTTCACAACTTTCCACCTTAGATTTTATATCTTTTATAAAATAAGCTTAAAGTAGGTAATCTTAAAGCTATTCTCCTAAACATGTGGTAGATACTGCTTGGTTAGGCCAGCAGACTGAAACTAAGAACGTCCAAAGAGTTAAATTGGAAAGAAATTTTAAAGTTGAATAATTCAAACTTTCATTTTGCAGAACACAAGTCTCAAGTCACATAGCTAATTAAATAAAATAATAATATAGTGAAATAATAAAGTAATGAAAATTAAGGAATAAATTCAATAATAGTAATTATTGAGTAGTAATTATTGTATAGTAATTATTGAATAGTAATTCAATAATAGCAATAATTTCTGCCTCATATTATGTTATATCAATGGTAAATGGTGTTGATTAGAAAAAATATTTTCTATTTCTAATCAGAATAATTAGAAACAATAAGTTATATGAAATTAGACCTTAATATTACATTCAAATATTTATTTTTACATGAAATAAAAAAACAATCATTTCCCTCAGACTATTTCATTAAAACTAAACATAGAGAGTCATCTTTCAGGGGCAGAGTGTAGTTCACAGTACAGTGCTTGCTTAGCATGCATGAGGCTCAGGTTCAAGTGCAAGCATGGCAAAGAAAAGAAACTCAACTTTCACTGAAATTATTTACATATAGATCCAATGCTCTTTTGACAATATGTCTTACATTAATTTTCTTTAGTAAACTGCTAAATAGAAGTAGCAAAAATTAACATTATTTTGGGACCACAATGTATATGTAGTTAAGTTTGATAGCAAAAGTAGCATCTTGTTAAATTAAGTGTCAGAAATCTGATATTCTAGTGCATTTATAAGCCTTATCAGCATTGTATATAAATGCTACATTGTGACATGCCTAAATTATAATACTTGCAAGTAAGTGACAATTTCTTTGCTTTTAATTTTGTAATGATGTATCTGTGACACATAATACTTGCTGAGTACTGGAATCATCCCAAAAGTTGGAAAAAAAGCTATGTTCAGGTTTCAGTCACAGAAGTGTTGATTAAAATGTGTAGGGTGTGGCATGAGTGATGGCTTTTTTTTAAAAGTCTACCTTAGGCATAAAATATATATTTTGTGAAGCTAAAGCAAAAAAATATCAACTAGTCAACTAGGGATGGTGGAGTGGCTCAAGTGGTAGAGTGCCTGCCTAGCAAGCACAGGCCCTGAGTTCAAGCCCCAGTACTGCACAGACAAAAAAAGAACTGTCAACTAGTTACTTAACTCAAAGGCAGATTTTAAAAATATGTCAACTTTCATTTTGCCTACATCAACATTTTAAAATAAAATGCATAAGTTATTTTTTATC